GATGGATCAGCCACAAAAGCCTTGACCTTTACAACCAGTGGGAAGATGTGTTCAGTCCCCAAAGACAAAGCCAGGACCCACTTGACCCCATTGATCGTGTGGAGTACTGAGACCACAGCTGGCTAACAAAGCCGCAGACATGCTGGCAACGCTTTGGACCTGTCCAGGAAGAGGGAGTGCCATTTCCTAAGCGATGTCAAGCACATTTGAGTAATAAATACTACCTTGTCAAATGCATAGTGGATCATCAGCCCCAAGGAGAAGGCATGAGTTCCTGGCTCCCACTTTATGATCATCATAATCAGCTACACAGATGACAGTGTCTTTAGATCAGACACTGAGCACGCAAATACACATACGTGCGTTAGTAATGGACGTGGGAGTAGTGCCCTTGGAGTGACCACTGAGCACTTGACTGCCATATAGCTAGTCTGACCAAGGAAGTGAGCTTTTATTTATATTTGTTAGTATTTGAAGGTTTATGATAGATGGGTAAGAGATTGAAATTGTTAACAGCTTTAATTTGCTTGGCTCTACAATCAACACTCTTGGTATCAACAGGCAAGAAATCAGAAGACAGATTGCTTTGGGAAAGTCTGCAGTCAGGGACCTCTCCAGAGTACTGAAAAGCAGCGTCAGTCTGGAGACTAAAGTGCACCTGATCCACGCCATAGTCTTCTCAGTTACTTGGTATGCATCAGAAACCTGGACAATGACTAGGGATCATAGAAAGAATAGATGTCTTTGAGCTGTGGTACTTGAGAAGAGTATTGGATATACCATGGACTTGCAGGAGAACAAACAAGTTTGTCCTAGAGAGGATGAAACCAGGCTGCTCCCTGGAGGCAAGGATTATGACGCTTCATCTGACATACTTTGGGCATGTTGCAAGGAGGAACTGATTCTTGGAGAGGGACATCATGCTTGGAAGGATGGAGGGACAGCACAAGAGAGGAAGACCCTCGATGAGATGGATTAATTCATTGACTGGGGTAATAAGGGTAAGTGTGTCAGAGACAGTAAGGGAGGCACAGGATAGAGCAGTTTTCAGGGTTGTACATAGGGTTGCTATGAGTCGCAAGCGACTCAACTGCACATAATAACAATTTGAAGATTGTTCAGTGGTTATCCTGGACTGGGTTCTCTCCAGAAACAAAGTAAGTGAAGCTTGTATATAAGTACAAAAAGACCGATTTATCTGGAGGAACTCACTTACATGCTTGTAGAGGCTGGCAAGTCCAGGTCTGTGGATTAGACCTCAGGAGAGGGGCTTTTCCTGACACCTGGCTGCAGAGTCCCAGGGATCCCAGGTTGACAGGTAAGGCAGGCCTGTGGCTCAGGTTCATAGAACTAGAGATGACAAGTTAGATGCAGCATCCAGATTGAGCTAGAAAGCTCACACTCTCCCTATGAAACTTTCTGTTTCTTTGCTGATGTCATCCAGGACATGATTATGTCATGCACTATATCATCAAGGAAATGATTGCATTATAAGCAGATTTTGTTAAGGGAATGGCTACATCTTAATTGTCAAATCAGAGCATCACGGACAGCCACGTTGATGCACAACCTTCACCATCATAATGAAGCACACAACATGTTTGACAGCTACCCCCCCCCCCAGTGGTACCAGAAGGGAAAAGCACTGGTGAGATGTTTGTGTAATGATTACCAAAACCAAGCCTAACCCACTGCCATCAAATCATTTCCAACAGAGAGCTACCCTGTAGGAACTAGTAGAACTGCCCCATTCTAAAGCTGCAAGTTTTTACAGAAGACTACCCCATCTTTCTTTCCAGGATCAGCTAGCTGGTGCATTTCAACCACTGACTTTTCAGTTAGCATCCAAGTGCTTCATGCCACGCCACTGGTGCTCCTCTGAAAAGACAACCAAGAAAATCCTGTGGAGCAGGTCTTTATAACTCAGTGGTTTCTGAGAACCAGGAGATTACTTAATGCTAACTAACATTAAATAAATTTAAAAAAAAAAGTAAATAGTGCTAATTGCAAGTGAATTAGCGATTTCTGTATATAGGATTATTTGTTTAGGGGACCGGACCCTTAATTGATAGTGATTGTTACTGCACTTTCCTAACATAAGAGTGAAAGGTCTTCATTCTGCCAGTTTTTATTCTTCTCTCTTTTTAATTTTTATCTAAATTGAGACTTAGATGAAAGTTTACAGAACATACTGGTTTCCATTCAGCCATTTACTCACATTTTGTTTTATGGTATTAATTACAGCCCACACAGTGTAACTGTATTCTTCTCTGTTTCTTCCCTGTGATTCTCACTTCCATTCATCCTCCCTCCTCCCCTCCTACCTTCTGTGTTTCATCCCTGGGAAAATGCTGCTCTAGATCTTGTATAATTGGAGTACTATGAAGTGAGTGCATTCCTGGTGTTACTTATCTTATAGGCCTGGCTGGCTGGCTGGCACTTTACCTATGTGGTGGAGGCGGTTTTGTGTGAGTTTTATTACAAAAGGGTAACTAAGTGCCATAGCTTCAGGAGTTTCACCAGACCAACAAATAAGTATGGTCCTTCTTATTTTGAGTTCTAGTCTACCTTTTTCGTGTCTTCTACCCAAGATCTTTTGCTATGATCAGAGCCATCAGCAGAGATAATTGAGCACCATCTAGTTCATCTAGTCTCTGGAAGTTTGATATTTTACATGGTGCAGTAGCTTTTTTAGTAAATTGTTTGCATTCATCTTTGCTTTTCTTTTTCTTTGGAACAAAGAGAAACCAGTAGTTGCACCTTAGATGGCTACTCACAGGCTTTTCAGACCCCAGTGAGCTGTGGTGTGACAAACACATTCTGCTTCTGATGGCTGACCGAGGGCATTTCCACACACTTTGTGTGCTGTGATCCTGGTGCAGATGCGTGTGCACGATCTGCAGGACTGACAAGGTGGCAGTGAAGGGTAAGCCTCTGTTCTGGAGAGCTGCTGGGAGCCATTTCTGTGTGTTTTTCTAAAGAGAGTCTTAGCAAATATACCTGGATCAGCAAATGTTAGCCTGCCTTTTATTTCTCATGGTCTCCTGTGGGCCTGGACAGCTTTCCTGCCCTCTGTGAGATAGCCTCATGCTGAGAAGGTGAGGGTTCTGGATGCTGAGCCTTGGCTTAAGGGTCTTTAGGAAAAGCTGGTGATGATGTCATTAGGAAAGCATTCTTAGAGTGGTCTGTATTTGGCATCTGCTTCCGGAAAGCTTTCCTTCTTTTTTACCATGTGTTTTTCTCTTATAGGACTGCCTCAGAATTAGCGAGCCTTTCTCACCCATCTTGCGGTCCTGCAGTCACTTGAAAAGCAAATTCTGATTGTCACTGGGGTCTGCCAAGAGTTCCTTCCCATTTGTGCTGAGATAGGAAGGAGCTGGGTTGAGAGCACTGCGTAAGGTTATAAAAACATTTCCATGAAATATGACCTTTAACTCTTGCTAATACTACTATTCACCTGATTCCCAGTGTGGGATCTCTGTGGCCCCCAAGAACACCTTATTTTATTAGTTTCCCCTTTTCAGTGCTGTTAAAGATTGTGATGTCAAGTAGGGATTGATGCTTTCAGGGAAGTTGCAAGGTCATCAGAATACCAGGTTTTGATGATGGGAATGAATCAAGACTGATAATTTCCTCTTCATTTTGTCATTTCTGACTTAGTAGATCATGTATTTGTCTAATTCAAGATGGCCAATATCAGGCCATCTCAACTCACTAATGGCTAGAATGTTGATCTGTATGTGTTCTGTTTCATTTCTGACAACTTCAGACTTCTTACAGTCCATGTTCCAGTTATTAAATAGATACTTGGAGCTGTTTCTCCTCATTTGGTGTCTTGCCACATTAGCTCCCTGATCACTCTGCTCTTGCCACAGATTAATGTATTTAGTCTCACTTTGGTCATGTTTTTGTTGGGAGATGTGAGTCTTTGGACAAAGAACTTCATGGTAAAGGTCAGTGAAAAAAGAGGAAGACCTCCAACTGGATGTATTGACAGTGGCTAGTTACAGCAGTGGGTTTGAGCGTGACAGAAATAGTGACGATGGTGCAGGGAAGGTTCAGATTTATTGTTTACAGAATGACTGAGGCCTAGTTGATTTGATGGCACCTAGTAACTAACAAGAAATATGTAAGATTTTAAGGGTTATTAGACATTCGGTGATCTGTATTCTAAAATACATCCACCTCTTATCAACATGGTTATGTTCCAAACACCAGGTTGCTATGTGAAAATGGAGAAAGCCCACTTATTGTGTAATTACCAAATTATGTCATTATGTAACTGACAAACCATTGAGAATTGTGCCCTACCCAGAGGACGCACAACCTTAACTGTCACAGCCAAGGTGACCCTCACCTTGAACATCTCTACTCATGAATGCCAGCCAGATATGTGTTGGTAATACCCAAAGTAGTCGAGTGAGTTTCTTTACAGTTGTCCTAGAAGTGAGTGTATTGGTATAGGGTTGGTGAAGATGAGAAAAACCTACCAGAAGATGGATTGACAGTAGTTGTCAAACAGCAGAGATCATGGAGGTCACGCTTGACTGGACAACATGACCACTCACTTGTATAGTACCCACATCAGTTCACTTCCCTATCCCCCACTCGTCGTTCAGCCCCTCTCCTCATCCTGTTCTTTGGCATGCAGTCACCATGAGTTAGAGCCTGGCTACTGTTGCTTCAGCTGCAAAACTCAGTGGACCCCTGTGTGTCCAGTGGAAGTGCTTTGTTGGAGAGCAGTTTCCACTCAGCAGAGAAGACCCTTGAACTCCCATTGTGGCTGAAGCGTCACTATGGCCGTGTTTTCCCCTCTCTGCGCATTTTAGACAATGCTCCTTTATCATCTTCCTCTTCCTCACTGTGAATGTACTGTGAAGTGTCAGCTAGGCACGTGGGGACCTGGGGACTTCTCCAGCACCCTCATTCAAGGCAGGTGGTGAGGGCTGCTGGGCAGAGGGTCCCTGAAACAGGTCACCATATGCTGTTTTTTCACCCAGGAACTGACAGCAGTGGAGCAGCATCTGGAAATGGGCCTGTCGTTGCCCCCACTGCCCCTGCCGGGGGCTCACGCCCCTCCTCCCGGAACCTAGGGTCATCGGGAGGTGACAAGGAGGAGGGCAAGAAGGTGCGGCGGCAGTGGGAGTCCTGGAGCACGGAGGACAAGAACACCTTCTTTGAAGGGTTATACGAGGTGAGGAGACGGAGGGAGTAGGAGAATAGTGAAATGAGTTGATGGTAGGCCTATATGAGTGAATGGACTATGGCGCTCATGAATGAGTGCATGGCGGGGCCGAGGATGGGGAGCTGTGTAAGTGGACAATAAACAGGGATGGGGAGGCTATACAAGTAAGTATGGCTAGGTGAGGTACTGTGGAGGTGGGAATAGGGGGCTGTACAAGTGAAGGGGGGATGATGGCAAGGTGAGTGGACAGTGGAGGTGGGGATGGAGGAGCTGTACAAAGTGAAGAGGGGATGGCAAGGTGGGGCAGCAATGGAGGGGCTGTACAAATGAAGAGGGGATGATGAAGGGGTGGACTGTGGAGGTGGAGATGGGGGAGTTGTACAAGTAGAGTGGAGGCAGCAAGTTGAGTGGACAGTGGGGGCTGGAGCAGTATGGGTTGAGTGGATGAGTGGAGACGGGGTCAGTAAGTGAGGGCATAGTAAAGGGAGTGAACAGCAAGGTGGCAGGCCCTACATGCCATAGTGGCCTGCTCACTGCCACTCTGTGTATGTCCCCTTCCCTCACAGAGATGTTGCAAGCGTCCTGGATGAGGGTCATAACTTGCCATGTTCTTCCCTCATTTGTGTCAGTGTAGACTCAGGGTGCTCCTTCATCTTACACCATAACTAGTTTGCATTTTAAGTTCTTAGGGGCTTTCCCATATTTGGCCTCTTCACATACTGGCCCTTGTGCTCTTGATACACACCTTATTTTCTGGCACCCCTTGGCTGTCCACACTTTTGCTGTCCTGGCTCTGGCCCTGGTAGCAGCATTTGTCTGAGAAGCCCCAATTCTTCCGGAGAAATGGCGTCAGAGGCTGAGCTCCTGAGTGCTCAGGAGCTGATGGCTCCTGGGTGCCAGTGCCATTCGTGGGGCCTGTCCCATGGTTGACTGAGGCATGCTGACCACTCTTTGCCTTTAGCAATCCCTGGGAGGACAGTGATGGAAAACCGGTTCTCTGAGACACACTCTGCCTGTGTCCCATGTGTTGAGGGCATGCCAGTCCTGTGGGTACTCAGACCCTCCTGTCTGCTGTCCCTGTCAAACACAGGGGACACTTTACACTATCCTGTCTCTTTTGGGAACATGAATCTGTGTAGTCAGCCAGTCTTCGATTGGAAAATACCAGCCGTGCAGCAGCCTGAACTCCAGGCTCATAGTATCACAGTGTGTGGTTGCTTTCTTCTGGAAGCTGTCTTTTGAAGGTCTTTGAACTGGTTTGAAACCATACAACTACCATAACCAAGGGCCACTTTAGGTTGCATGGCAGCCACATGTGGGGAGCAGTGCTGTGCTCGCTCAGACGTGATGGCCATGTGTGCTGCTTGCCTGATTGAGGGCTACTTTCCAGTGTCCCCTTACACCCTTTCCTCCTGAACGTCTCAGTAGCTGGATGTGGGAAACTGGATTCTTGCAGAATTGAAAGAGCACTCTTTCATCATGGTATGATTGGGTGCTGTCTTCAAATGGGATGTTCCTGTTTGTTTCCTTAAACAAAAACCAGTACACCAAACAAAAAGTCACAACAAAATTGAGTCACTTCTGACCTGTGGTAGGCTTCTGGTGAGTTTCCAAAGCTATCAGTCTTCAATGCAGGAAACTGCCTGTCTTTTTGCTATAGAGCAGCTGGTGGATTTAAACTATCAAAATTAAAAAAAATTTAAAAAAAAATAAATTAAAAAAAAATAAACTATAATTCTGGTTAGCACACCAGCAGTTACTCTGCTGTGCCACCAGGACCCTTCTTCCCAGTAGCAGCAGTTTTGGTTGGTGTGGAGTGAGCACATGGTCCTAGTTTATGAGGTAACTATTTTAAACCAGTTCAAAGCTCTGATGTCACATTGTTTTCTAAGTGATGAGAGGAGGAGCTCTCTGTCCATGATCAGCTTTCCCTCTCTTCCATTCCAGTGTTCTTACCTCTTATCCCTGAGCTTCCGTCATGGTTGGATCTTGGTGACAGAGAGCACTGAGGGAGCTCTGCTTGCCCCAGCTGGTCCACACCCATGCATTTTCAGGACAGTGTTCATACTGCCCCTTAGGCTTGTGTTGTGCTCCCTTTTCACTGGGACTGTGTCTTCCAGCATGGGAAGGACTTCGAGGCAATCCAGAATAACATCGCCCTGAAGTACAAGAAGAAAGGCAAGCCCACCAGCATGGTGAAGAACAAGGAGCAGGTCCGGCACTTCTACTACCGCACGTGGCACAAGATCACCAAGTACATTGACTTTGACAATGGTGAGTGTGTGCTGCTGCCCATGGCTTGTGTGCATGGTCTCTAGCGGACCCCAGGCTTCATCTGACCCTGTGGCATGGTCTTGACCTGTGCTCTTTACAGATGCGCCTGATGACCTTTGTCTATGTGCAGATGGCTGGAGGCAGCTTTCTAGCTCTGCTGCTCCCCTTCCCACTGGACTCTGTGTCGGCTAGTGCATCTGGCTCTGGGTTTCCTGTGGGTTCTGAGTCCCTAGATCTTGGCCTGTATACCTACTATGAAGGCGCTGGGGCCATGTTAGCCAGAGCTAGGCTCTGTGTGACTGATATGAGTGAGGCTGATTCTCTTGGGGCTCAGACCTATGACCCTCTCTTATCCACATAACTAGGTGATTAGAGTGACACTAACTGTCAACTCTGGCAGTGTGCTGGGACATTAATTCTCTGTGGTTGGAATCTTGGGGATGTTTTTTTATTTGTCTGCCATCTCCCTGTGACGGAAGCAGCACTTCTGACTATGCTGTGTCTGCAGGTTGCCTGCTTTCTGCATGAACCATGTTTTGTCCATCAGGTGGTGGGTCTTTAGCGCTTCTAAATCATGAGCTCCTCTCAGACCCTGGTGAAATCCAGGGGGGTCTTTTTCTCGGGAAAGATTCTAGAACAGCTGATGTGGACTTTGGCAGCGTGAGCTTCACAGAGTCACCTAGTCACAGAGCCCCTTCCTAGGACCTTTCTTCTATCCCTGGTTCTCTGGGTGCCCACATGATGCCCCTTTGCTCACCTGTCCTCTCCCTTGCGCACAGATCCACACCCCCTGTCCTCAATATGATCTCTCACACACAGTGCTCACACCAACATGGTGTCTGTTTATTCTTCTGTTCTCTATTTTGTGCACGTACATGTGCACACTCTAACCCCCATGAGAGTTCCTGTTCTCTCACACTTACACAGGCAACACTTGCACCCGATATTGTGTTGTCCATTTTCTTGCCTGTTTTCTTCTGCACACAAGCGTGTGTGCACACTTACACTAGTAATCTGTTTCTTCTGTTCTCTATTTTATGCACACCCACGCATCCCCATATGATGTTTCCTTTACTCTCACGCTTACATGCACAGGCACACATTAACGTGATGGCCATTTCCTCTTCATTCTCTCCTGCACGCAGCTACGTGCACGTGTGTTCACACACACTTACACTCTGTGAGTCTGTTTCCGCTCCTGTTCTCAAATGCGTATGTGTATGCACACATACCAAGATGTGATGTTTCCTCTCTTCTCAGATCTACACACACACTCCCTAATGTGATGTTCATCTCCTTTCCTGTTCACTGTCTCATGCACACAGATGAACATGCATGCACTTAGACACATATACTCACATTTACGTGATGTTTGCATTTTCTTCTGGCCTCTTGTCTGTCTCCCTCTTTCAAACGTAAGATGTTAAGGCTTTCATACTGGCTGCCAAGGAAAGCAGGTGTGAGAGGCTGTATGGGCAAACGTTCTCCCAAGTCACTGCGAGATCTGGCTGGAGTGGGTGAACTCAACATCATGGTGCTTCCACACAATGTTTGTTCTCTGTGTAAATGACACCTGGGACTGGTATCAAGAACCCAGATTCTGCCCTTCTGCTCTACTAGCCACATATAGGTCCACACGGTTCCAAGTAGCTCACAGCTGTCCTGCCTGAGCTGGTCTCATTAATGGACTCTTCTGCTTCCACAGCAGGTCCATACTTCACTGGCCAGGGCTTGGTTCTGTGGCCATGTCTTCTAGCAGTGTTTCCCTTTCAAAGCAGATGGGGGAGCTGTTGTACTGGAGGGGGGTGGTTCCTGGGTCACTGGTGCGGCATGAGTACTCTTGTCATGTTGCTTTCCCTCAATTACTGTTGTGTGGGGCTGGGGGTGTCAGAGGAGGAGAGGACAGGTGAGGTGGTGAGAACAATTGACAAGTTCAGTGACCTGCCTGTTATCATCACGATCCCCTTCCTCACCTCCAGGAGAGCCATCTGAGTTCAGTATCCCTTGTTCTCCCCGTCCATTCCACCTACCATTCTGTCACTGTCCTGTGCAACCAGGGTCCACCTGCTCAGGACTATCTCTTTTATTTTTATAATAAAAATAAAACTCTTGCAGTGTTCTCAAGAGGACTGAAGAAGTCGTCCCAGGAGCTCTACGGACTCATCTGTTACGGGGAGCTGCGCAAGAAGATCGGGGGCTGTGAGTATGCCTCGCCCACACCACGTGGACTTTGGGCTGTGTGTCAGCCCTCCACAATGGGGGCTGCGGGCTGTGGGTCAGCCCTCCACCATGGGGGCTACGGGCTGTGTGTCAGCCTTCCATGGCGGGGGTTTTGGGCTTTGGGTCAGCCCTCCATGAGGCCTCTGGGCATGTGTATGTGTAGATATGCACACCTACCTGCACACACACACAGACTTAGACACACCCACACAGCACACATATTGAAGCGTGCACACACCTATGTGTTCACATAACTGTACACATACATACTTTTTACACATTTGACTGTTTATATATGTGTATACGCAGGCATGAGTGGACTCACAGCTTGTGCCTATCTGCACTTGGGAACACGTGTGTGTACACACATCACTTTCTTCTCTCATCTGACTACTTACGCACATGCAGGTGCATAAACAATACCTCATACTCAGTGGCAAACATGGACATCTGTGTGCCTTGGTACACAGCCACACACACCCCTCACTCATCCTGCGCACAACATACACCCACCCCCTCACTCATCCTGCAGAGACACACGAACTGTATCCTGAGGACCTTAGCCATGTTGCTGAGAACAGGGCTGCTCTCCTAGTTGACCACCTCCTAGGGCATGCAGCAGGGGTAAAGCAGGTAGAGCAGTCTTCCTAACATTCTCTGTAGTCAGAGCAGGTCCTGTGGCTGGGAACCCATTACACACAGCCATCATGGCCTCCACAGGTCCTCATCTGTGCCTTCAGTCTTCATGTTTTGGGGCTAGACCTGTGGTTTTTGAAATGCCCTCAGCTCAGATTGTCTATAAGTCCCCTGTGACTCTATGTTCTTCAGTCACTTTGACACAAGCCCTGTGAGGGAAAATCACAGCCTCTTGGCCCGTGCCAGATGCTGCTTGGCTCCTCCTTTTCTGCTGGATGACCACACACAGTGAGCCCCCCATGCCTCTCCTTGACTACCCACTCCCTTGTTACATGATGTGATGGCACCTCCACTTCAGGGTCCTTCTGTGCATTAGAGAAGGGACTTCAGTCAACTAGTCCTTCACATTTCAGGGTGTACTTGTGAGACTCCTCTCTTTCTAAGGAGCAGTGGCTTGAGAGGGGTGTGGACAGAAAGAGGACAGAGCGCCAGCGTTGGCCATCTTGGATGATACATATGTTTGCATTGATAATCAATTGAAAGGTCAATAGTTCAGACCAACCCAGGGGCTCCGTGAAGAGACCCCTGGCCTCCTTCTACCAGATCATAGCACCCAGGTCAGGGCACAGGAGGGACAGGGTGCACATGACATGGAAGGCCTCCCGATCCAGGCGAGTAGGATGGTAGGGGCCTGGGGGAGACCTTGTGAAAAGGTAGAGAGTGTGTGCAGAGGCATGAGGAGGCTACAGGGCACCCCCAGAACAGTTACATCCTTCTTTCTACTTGATGGGTGGTGGTAATTCTTTGTGAAGCCTGACTACTGGGCATGGGGGTTTAGATCTTGCAATGGGATCACATGGGCACTGTGATACCCTCATCTCCCTGTGTGCCATGTTAACTCCTTTTTCTCCTCACTTGAAGGCATGGATGACAAGAATGCCTCGAAGCTGAATGAGCTCATCCAGGCTGGGTGAGTCCACACTAGCATGCAGGACCAGAAGTACCAGCAGTTCTGTTTCCCATAGGATATATCACTCTCTTCTAGCATAAAAGACAGCAGCCACCTCCCCTGGGCTTTTCTGTTCTGTGTTAGGAACTGTTGGCTGTTACCACATGGTTGATCCTCCTCCTGTTTCTTTCTGTCCCTCCACCCTTCTGTGTTAGACTGTGCTGAGTCCTTTCTACTCCTGAAAATCTCTCAGTCTTGATTTTCCTGTTGCATGTTTTCTGATGGTCTTCCTCTCCTGATTGGGTTCTGTCTCCTGGGTCCACACCTCATGTCTAGTGCTGTTCAGGGCCACTGAGGAAGAGCTAGATCTCACTTTCTGTGGTTATTCCTTCACACTCCTAACTGCCCCGAGGTGCATGGCTGGGAGCATAAGGAGTGTTAGCTCAACAGCAGGGAAGAGCTGTATACTCAGTGGGCCTGACACCAGGGCTATCCCCAGAGATCTCCCAGGTCTGGAAATAGCATGCAGCCCCCACTCTGGAGCACTCCAACTCCAGCATGAGGGAGACTACCCTGATGTCTCTATTTGGTTTCCCTTCAGTCATGTTTGCAGGAGTTTGACAAAGCAGGTTTTTTTTAATTATTAAAGTTTATTAATTTTAATGAATATTTACAGAGATTTTGGGTTTTCATTCATTCATTGTTGCACTATTTTCTCTACCCTCCTCCCCAGTTTGTTCTTCTTCCCCCTCCTGAAAGTTTGTTTTAATTGTCGATTTGCCACAGTGCTTGTCAAAGCCAGTTCTGATTAATCTCCTTTGTCAGTGTGTCCTTTGCCATTCCCTATCACTCCTCCCTGAGAGAGACTTCACCCTGATTCATAAGGAAAAGGGGATGGTGTAGTCTCTTAGCTACTTCCTGCTGAAAAGGGACACTGTGGGTTTCAGGGTGAAGATCTTCTCTCACTACTCTAAAGGGCCCCTTTGGCAATAGGAAACACAGACTATTATGGAGATTGATTTTGGAATTTAGATGCACTGTTATCAATTGTGCTTAGTCGTGTGTGTTCATATACTTGAAGATGCATCATGGAAGTGTTGAAGCCTAGAAGACACAAATTTAACTAACAAGTTAAAAGTACATGAGTCAAAAATTAAAAAGCATTAATATTCCAAGTAGAGGCTCTAATAATGGCACAAATCAAGTAACAGAGGGAAGGTAGTTCTTACAATAAAAGGCCTGTTGACTAGCACTTTGTCTATTATAGTATAAAGGTTAGGAACCACAAGATGTAGAAGCTCAACTATGCCATTTATTGTTCTTAAGTCCTGGAGCAAATCCCATCTACAACTGGATTGTTTTACAACTCGGAAGTCCGCATGCAAGGCAGAGGTGAAGTAAGGAACTGCTTATGAGGTTTTCCGTCAGTTCCAACAACTAAGAAATAGTGAGAAGAATTGGGACCTCAGAAGGCTTTTAGGACCAAATAGTAGGCTCTTGTGTCCAGGAGAAAACGAATATACTTACCTACCAGTAATGTTAATGCTCACTCACAGCTCTTCTGGAGGATCTAAATCGTTGAAGTGGACAAAGCATTTTTAATGTCTGTCTGGAACACCAAATGTACAGAAATAACAGAGCATGTAGAATATAGTGGCCAGAGCAGCTGGCTGGCTCAGCCCTCAGCACTGTGATGCTGTAGGTATAGAAAGAGGGGGTTCCATTTTGCTGTGACTGTGGACTCTAGAGGAGGCAGCAGGACAAGGAGGCACATGGGGCAGAGCTTAGGCTGGGGGACAGGATGGACTTTGTGGAGTTACAGGAAGCTAGTGAGGCCCTGGATCTGGTTGGAACCTGTAGGTGGATTGGCTGTGTTGAGGAGCAGTGTGTACCTTACTACTGTGGAGTTGATCTAACTCACAGCAACCCTGCAGCACAGAATAGAACCCCCATGGTTTCCTATGGCTGTGAGACCTATGGAAGCTGCCTAGCAGCATCTGGGTAGTTTCCTGCTTTTTATCTGTAAACAGATTTGGGGCTGTGACTGGTGACTAGATGCCGTAGCCTTATAGTCCACTTACCAATGGGAGGACATTTTTTCACACAGACATCTGCCTCTAGACATGTGCGTGCAGATTTTCATCTCACCTGGATGAATAACCCCTGGTGAAGGCTGCCAGCTGCCCTCCAGAGTGGGCGTCCCAGTCACTCCCTATCTGCAGCTATGCTAGGCATTTTCACTTGGTTTGTCATTTACCCTCTCAGTTGAAGTGAAAAAGCCTGGTGGCACAGTGGTTAAGAACTGGACTGTCAGTAGTCTGAATCCACCTGCCATTCCATGGGACAGAGAGAGATGAGGGCAGTCAGCTTCCAGGACAGCCTTAGTAACCCACTGGGAGGGAGCTCTGGTGGTCTAGTGGCAAGAAGCTGCACTGCAATCCTGGAAGTATGTGGTTCAAATCCACCAGATGCTCTGCTGGAGAAGGAGGAACAATCTCCTCCTGTACCAGTCAGATCCGATTTGACAGTACACACACAAACAATAATAAAAAAGAGAGAAAAAAAAAAGAAATCCACTGGGATAGTTCTCTGTCCTAAAGGGTTGAGAGTCGAAGTGGATTTGGGTGCTGGGACAAGGTGGTATTTCATGGCTCTGATTTGCATTTCCTTGGTGACTAATGATAGAGATCTCTGGTGGTCTGAATCCACCAGCTGTTCCTTGGGAGAAAGGTGGGTAATCTCCCATGTAGTTTACAGTCTTGGAAAACCCACTGGAGGATCAGCTAAGAGTATAAGAATACAGAGCATCTCTCTGAGGCTTCTGTGTCTTCTCTTATGAAGTGTCTCCTCAAATCTTGTGTAGGTTTCTTTTTGATTGAAGCTAGAACGTCTTGTCTTTATTTCAGACACACAACTGCCCAGCATATCTTTTCTAGTCTGTGATGTGTCCTTTCCAGTGTCTCTCAGCAACTTTGACCAAGTCCAGCCTGTCACACTTTTCCCTTTTTCCAGTTGTGCCATTGGCCTCTTATTTATTTATTTAAATTTTTATTGTATTATTTTTACATGTACCGTCAAATCAGATCTGACTGGTACAGGAGGAGATTGCCCCCTCCTTCTCCAGCAGAGCTTCTGGTGGATTTGAACCACGTACCTCTGGGATTGCAGTGCAGCGTCTTGCCACTAGGCCACCAGAGCTCCCTTTGGCCTCTTATTTAAATATTTACCTTTCCCAAGGTCACAAAGATGGCCTATGTTTTCTTCTGGAGCTTTATGGCTCTCTGTTTTACATCTTTATTGGAGATGAAAGGCTGTTGGAAGGCTGTCTGTAGTTCTGATTCCTGAAGGCTCAGGTACCATTTATGTTTCTTTCTTACCATCAAACAAGCACTTGGCTTGGCCCTCACGGAAAGTGCAGTTCTGACCACAGCCACCAGATCAGCTCAGGGATGGACAGTTACCCATGTGGACTTGTCCTGTAAGTCAAAGCTCTGACCCTTGTGTAGCCAGGTGACAGCGGTGGGAAGGCTAGAACCAGTCCTGGGAACTTTGAATTTGAAATTGTGTCCATACCTCAATCCTGGTCTCTTATCCACCAAGGAGGCCTCACTTCGCGGCAGTGTACTTAGAGTCTCCTAAGTGAAAGCAGTGGATACGGGTTAGTAGAGCCATGTTGGTGGGAGTTCTCCAAGTTCTGGAATGATTGTCTTTTCCATATTTATTTCTTATTAAAAAGAGGTATTCAAATTTGAGGTTTCCCTGGAAAGGTGCCCTGTTGGTGTTGTGCATAATATATAGTACTGCTAACAAAGATTGACAGTTCAAATCCACTAGCTGTTCCTCTACAGAAAGATGGACAACCGTCTCCCGTCCAAAACAAAGATTTAAGCCTCAGTGGAGGTTATGTTGATGAGTCAGACTTGCCTCAGTGGCCATGGGTTTGATTTTGTGGGTTTGTTTTTTCAAACTAAGCTTGTCTGTTTGCCCTGGAAAGTTTCCTTTTTATTCTGGAAGAGAGAAATGACCCATCCTCTCTTGTGAGCTGATATTTGCCTGTGGTGTGATGTGTGTAGTTAAGATCTTGGATGTGAAGTTATTCCAGCCGCACCCGTGGGAGAGGTTGTCCTTTGCTGTCCTTCCTCCATCAAGTTTCTTCATCACCTTGTAGGAAACCAGTGGCCATATTTGTATGTCTATTTGTGGACATTACATTTTGCTCTTTACCAACCAAGTTAGCAACCTGTGAACAGATAGGATAGATGATTAGATAGGTGCTGGAGAGCAGGACCAGACACCTGGTAGCATTTCTCTTAAACCCTGTCCATGTTTCAGACTTGGTTCAGCTCTTGGTTGACTCTACATCTAGCCAGAGACTTAACATGAGGGGCAGTGAACTGAGAAAGTTCTCCAGTGAATTCACGTCTCTGTAGTCACAGACCCAGAAACAAAACCTCTGAAGTGAATCAGCCTCTTAGTGAAGGGACACATCTTGGAGCAGAAAAGAAAGGCCAACTTCTTGGAGGAGGGCTCCTCTACCGTCTTCCTTGACAGTGAAGCACAGGGGAGGAGCACATGAGAGTCCTGTGTTTGGTGAGCTGTATGAACAGATACCAAGTCACTCAGATTCCAGTCACTCAGCTCCAGAGAGGTCCGAGAGTAAGGAGGGCAAACCAGCATCCAGACTCATGACTGGCCCTACGAGTCCATCACATCTGTGAGCTTGAATTTTACTCTGTCCAGCTGCACAGTGCTTTAGTGTCAGGCCCCCATAGCCCTCCTCTCTGAGAGAAAAGGAGAATGCACGTTATTACAGGTGCTTACCTAGTAATAAAAAAGAGTCTGTGCAAGTCATGTGGAAAAAAAGGCAAAGAGGAAGTCCCAGATCAGCAGTTTTAACTGAAAGTGGCGTGATCGCAGATGCAGGTGCCACATGGCACACACAGCCCATCACTCTGTGAGCCTTGCTCCTGTGCTTGTGTTCTGAGGCAGGCAGAACAGAAGCAGAGAAGGGCATCCGTTTCCGTAGCAGTGTGGTGCTAGTGCTTGTTAGACTCTGTTCTATGCCTGGTGGCTGCCTCCTTTGCATCGTCCTCCCGGCTTCTCCTTCAGCCCCCTCACATCCTTCAGCGTCACTAGCATTTGTCGTCTGGACACCTTACCTGGGTTGTGGTTAAGACTCAAGCACTTTGTTCAGCACATTGTGGGGAATGTTTCCTGTGTGTGTACACTAACTCTCCTGAGTCACACCTCAGTTGGAAATGGGAAGTGTTCTTCTTAGGACTTTTCTTGCCTCTGGACACAGTTTTGGAGTACCTCTACTCTTTGTCATGCTTGATTTTCAACACAGAAGCAGCTTAGTCAGTGTTTGGATAGGTAGACAGATGGAGAGAGCGATGAGTGCGTGGATAGATAATAGCTAAATAGGTGGGTGGAAGGAAAGACAGCTGGATGTAGAAAGTATGGAATGGTGAGCAAGTGGATGGATTTTCTTAAGATAACTTTTTAATCACACAAGTAATATACAAATGTATTCTTAAGAAAATGAGAATAATACAAATTGGCAGCTTCTGGGTCAGTCTCTGGCTGGGTTGATTGAAGGGGTCTGTGTTTGTGTTGCTATGTACTCAGGGTGGTATGAGGGTTCTTTCTCAGGTCTTGTGGCCTAGTGGTAAGGAACCACACTGCTAGTCCCAAGGCACATGGTTCTAATCCACCATGCTCCTGTGGAGAAAGATGGGTAGTCTCCTATCTCTGAAAACCTACTGGAGGGTTAGCTATGGGTCAGAACATCTCTGTGTTCTTCCCTTCTACACGGTGACCAGCAGGGGGCAGCAGCTCCTCCTCAGGCCTGATGCTCCTTTTCACCCTCTCCAGGGCCACCACAGTTCGCTACAAAGGGAGGAACCTGCGGATCAAGGCGCCCATGTGCCGAGCTCTGAAGAAGCTCTGTGACCCTGACGGTAGGGCAGATGGGGAGGCAGACATGGTCCAGGGCTGGGCTGAGGGAGTGGAGTCTTCAGCATGTATCTCTCCTAAACAGCTTGTGATGCCCAGAGGGAGTGACTGGCAGAGGTTGGCGACTCTGCTCTTGTAACTGCAGCCCTCCCAGTGATAGGGGCAGTGCTGGAGCTTCTCCATCACTGGGTTCCTGGTGTTCTGCCGGCTGCTTCTACCTCCAGAGTGGTGCACACCCCTCTGCACCCCAGGAGGGCTTTGGGTCCCCCTCACTCAAACTCTCCTCATCCCCACAGGCCTCAGTGATGAGGAGGACCAGAAACCTGTCCGCCTGCCCCTGAAGGTTCCTGTGGAGTTGCAGCCTCGCAACAACCATGCCTGGGCCCGTGTGCAGAGCCTCGCCCAGAACCCTCGGCTCAGGTGATGGTGGAGGCGGGGTTGGGGGTTCCTGAGGAGGTTTTCCACTGTTCCTATACATCAGATGGGCCGAGGTGGGGACCATGCCAAGCTTGCTGTCCTCAAAGCTCCACACTGATAGCTACACTAAGTAAAGGGCTCAGCGTGTGTGCGAGCAGGAAGCACGTGGTACTTGGAGGACTGAGTGGGTGCAACCTTTCTTCTTTCCCATGAGCCTTCAGGGAGCTCCTTCCTGCTTCCTGCACACGCATGTCTAATGTGTCTGCACACTGGCCAGGGTGGTTTTCCCTCCACGTACACATTTGATGTGTGTTCTGAGTCACTGCAGTATTTGTTAGGTGCCATTAAGTCAGTTTTGACTCCTTACAACACTGTGCACAACAGGTGGTCATTTCACATAGAGCTGCCCCCTGCACTCTGCTCCCTGCACTGCTCTGTTCTCTAACCTCCCATGTTGTGCTGAGAACGCTGCCCCCTCTCTGCAGGATGATTGTGGAGCTTCATCGAAAGGTCTCTAGCCTCATCGAGTTCCTGAAGCAGAAGTGGGCCCTTCAGGAGGTGCGAGTCGTATCCTTTCCTCTGGTTCCTTAGGACACATAGCTTGGTTCTAATTGTGGCCTCTTGTAGGGTGTGGTGTGCGGCAGCCACACCAGGGGCCTTTGTGCCCCTGGGCTTCAACTTCACACACCACCTGCCCTCCAGAGCCCACTCTCAGCCAGTCAGCCTGCCAATTGTTAAGTGTCCGGACAAGGCCTGGCCACCCTGCTTGCCCCCCTGCTTGGTTCTTGGCCAGCAGGTCTTGGTGGTGGAGGTGGGTGGCTGGTCAGTTTCTAGAAGAAAATGCTGAGTGGTTGGTTGTTGTCTGTGGACATGACCCAAGACCCTGTTTGTGTCCCTGAGACCACTCTCAGGGAAACCCTATATCCTTGGACACCCTTGCTGATGTGACTAGGTCAAGTTCAGTAGTGCAGTCCTTGATGATATATGCAGCGCAAGACATTGGAGGAGCGGCAGCTTCAGGAGCCATGCCCGGCGGAGGAGAGACTAACGCTGCACCTATTTCCAGGCGAGAACTCCACGGTGACGCCACTGCCAGGAGTGGCCAGGGTGGTGCACTCCAAGGCCTACTGCACAGTGCACTGGCAAGAGAGCGGCCGTTGCAAGCAGGGCACCCGTGATGCCCACACTCTGCCACCTGCCCAGATCCTGGGCATCCAGAGTGGCCAGGGCACAGCCAGGGGCCAGGTCAAGTGCGCCCGGGGTGCAGCTGAGGGCAAGGCCACTGGGCGGCCCACTGTTCCTGCTGATACTTCACAGAGTTCTGGAGAGAGTTCCCCTGAGAGTGGCCCTGGGGAGGGGACAACCCCAAATTTGAGGAGCCCTGATGCCCCAGATAGGCTCCCTGCTGGACTGCTGGACACCATAGTGGGCCTGGAGAAGGGCCCCATGGACGGTCCAGTCTGTGTCCCAGGCCCTGGGTCCAGTGAGTTGTGCACCTGCGGCCAGCCGCCAGACCTGGAAGAGGATCTGTCCCTGTTGGACCCTGTTCCCCGCTACATGAAGTCCTGCCAGGACCTCATCATCCCAGACAAGTGCCAGTGTGCAGACTCTCGAGCTAGGGCTGAGCGACCATCCTCTGGGTGCTGCACCTCTCCTGAGGCCTGTGCTCCCAGTGCTGGGGATGCTGTGGACCTGGCTCAGGGTCCATACCCCGTCTGTGCCCCACCTCATCCAGAACCCCCACCCAGCCAAGGCCGTGGACTGCAGCCTGATGGTGGTGGCACTAAAGACCCAGCTGAGGTGTCTGCAGAGGAGCTACTGGAGAAAGGGATGGCCGTGGACACCGTGCCCCCGCCTCCTCCTGTGCAGCCCACCAGCAGGTTGGCCCAGCAGGTGCGTGAGGAGGGCTGGAACATGCAGACGTCCGAAAGCCTCACGCTGGCCGAAGTCTACCTCATGCTTGGCAAGCCCAGCAAGCTGCAGCTGGAGTATGACTGGCTGGCTGTGCCGGGCCCCCTGCCCCACACCGGCCCCGCACCTGCTGCACTGCACAAACAACGCCTGCTCAGCTGCCTCCTCAAGCTCATTGCCACTGAGGTCAGCCCCAAGCCGGTGAGTGGGGCATCTAATTCCAGTGGGGCTGCAGAGCTGCAGCAAGGGGCTAGAGGCCAAAGCACATGTCCCATAGTAAGGGGTCAGGATATACATAAGATCCATGTAGAAGAAGGAATACAATCTCCACAAACAAGGATCTAGGAACCCTTTCTGAGAACTCCTGTGTGTAATGACCCAAATGAGATAGGGGGTGCCCCAGATTTCCTGCAGACCACTTCTGCTCTAGTTCCTAGACTCTAGTTCCCTACTGGGTAGTCAAGTGATAAATCGATGCTGAGGCCCACACCAGTTGAGATGGGTAGGCTGTGGGTGACAGTGACAAAATGGGACCAATAGGTAGGGCCCAGCTAGATGCAGCGCAGGAGCTGTGGCTGTGATTCAAGCTCTAGACAGTGGGTGAAAGGAGCCTGGTAGGGATTCAGGCCCTATCTGAGGGTGGAGGGAGTTGTGACAGAGATTAAATCTCTATCAAAATTGAGGATAATATAGCTAGGCTTAAGTCTTTTAATAGTCAAGGGAGCCATAGCTGGATTCAGGCTGTTGTCTCAGGCAGAAGGAACCATAGCTAGGATTCAAACTCTGTGTTGGGCAAAGGGAGCTATGGCTGGGATTCAGGTTGTCATCTCAGGTAGAGGCAACTGTGGTTGGGATTCAGGCTCTGTCTCCAGCACAGAGAACCATGGCTGGGATTCAGGTTCTGTTTTGGGCACAGAGAACCGTCGCTGGGATTCAGGCTCTGTCTTGGGCAGAGGGAGCCATGGCTGGGATTCAGGCTGTTGTCTCATGTAGAGCGAACTGTTTAAGGGATTTAGGCTCTGTCTCAGGCACAGGGAACATGGCTATGGAGGAGGAGAAGATGCCAAGTGCTTGACTGTGTCCCCTGAGGACAGTGATATCAAGAATAAGTTCAGAGATGGGGTCACAGTTAAGAGTATTCCAGAGGTGAACACAAGAGCCTCATTCTGGGCATATGAAAACCCGTAAGTTTGAGGTTTATTAAGCAGAATATTCTTGGTCTAAACAGTTTCATGCTACCCCTCTTGCCAGTGGCAGTGACCCTACAACTATCCTCTCCTTTTATTTATTTGTTTGTGAGGTTTTTGTTGTTGCTATTGTGTATTGTCTAATCAGATCCAACTGGCAAAGGATCATCTGGTGGATTTAAACTGCATGCCTCTGGGATTGCAGCACAGCTTCCTGCCACTAAGCCACCAGAGCTCCCTTTGTCCTGTCCTCTTAGAGTGACTGTGTGGTTGGTGGGGCCTAGTGGATAAGCTGTTCTGCTACACAGTAGACAGGGAGCATATGGCCAAGTCTTATCCTGTTGTGTACCATCTAGTCGGAAATGACCCACAGCTGACCCTCCAGTGAGTTTTCAAAGGTAGTAGATCTAGCATGAGAGGATACTGCTCATCTTTCTCCTGTGGAGCAGCTGGTGGGTTTAAACCATGTATCTTTGTGTTGGCAGTGCCGTTCCTTATCATTAAGCCACCAGGGCTCCCTCATGTGGAGAAGCAACTTTTTAAGAGGCCACCTTCCTGGGGTTCCTGGAAGGCCTCCCAGCTGGCTGGATCCCAGTGTGCCCTTCATGGCCTCTACCCCTACACAGGCACATGCTGTGGTTAAACGTGGTCCCACTGTCTTTGTCACAGGCTCAGGAAGCCACTGCTGCCTCTATGGCCTCCGTGAAGCCCACCCAGGAGGAGCAGCCACTGCCACCTTCTGGGAAGGTGGTAGCTGTCAACTCTCGGAGCCCCCGATGTCCTCGCAGCAAAGCCTTTTCCCCAAACACTGCACCCTGCTCCTCAGGTGAGGCTTGCTGCCCACATGTACATGCTGCAGTGTCAAGAGCTGCTCCCAGGGGGGTGCAGTTCAGAAGCAGGAATCATTGCCTTGTTGTGAGGAGTTAGGGACAGGGAGTCAGTGGGAGGACTCTGATCCCAAAGGAGGGCCAGAGGCTGTGCACCAGGCCCAGAGGGAGAAGGATGGGCTCAGAGTGGCCATGGCCAATCTCATGTTTCTAGGGTCTCCTTCATGTGATAACTAGCAGTCTTTCTTAATTTTACATTGGTGGCTTAGAACCCTGGTGGCCCAACAGCAGTGAAACACTTGGCTGCTAGCCAAAATGTGGCAATATAAGCCCAGCAGAGAAAAACGAGGTACTTTGTTTCTGGTAAACTATAACCATGGACCAGATCTGGCCCACCACCTGCTCTGCCAATAATGTTTTCTTGGCACACAGCCTCATGTATCTCTTAGCGTATGTATGTATGTATGTATGTATGTATGTGTGTATGTATGTGTGTATGTACCATCAAATTGGATCTGACTGGTAACTGGTACAGGAGAAAATTGTCCCTCCTCCAGCAGAGCACCTGGTCGATTCAGATCGCTTACCTCTGGGACTGCAGTACAGTGTCTTGCCACTAGGCCAGCAGAGCTCGTGATAGCTTAGCTTTTGTGTTTTAACTGCAGATCTGAGTTACTGACAGCCTATGTGAACCCGAAAACCTGATGAGTTTTTCCTCAGACCCTACACAGAAACTATTGTGACTTCTACACTAGGTGATCTTTGAATCTTATATTTTTAATTTGTGGTGTCAGTGAAAGTTAATGAAGCAAACTGGCTTTCTATTCAATCATTAATACTTTTTATTTTATGACATTAATAAGAATACTCACAATGTAACTGCACTGTTCCCACTTCCTGCCAGTGATTCTTGATGCCATTCCTCCTCCTGTCCCCTCCTGCCTTCTGAGCTTTGATCCTGGGCAAATGCTGCCCTTCTCATTGTATGTAGTTGATGATTCTGATGAGTGGGTACCTCCCTGGTATTCTTATTCATCATATAGGCTGATGTGGTATTTGGCTAAAAGTTAAGCCACGGGGATGAGTTCCAATCCAGGCTCAAAGGGTGATTAATAATAGCCTTAGTCTCAGGGTTCCACTAGTCTCTATTAGACTTGGTCATTTTTATTCTTGTGAGTTTTGTTCCAATCTTTTACCCACTCTGTCCAGGATTCTCTGCTGTGGTCCCTTTCTGAGTGGTCAGCCACACTTAAGATTATCTTGAATTTCCCTCTTTTTAAAAAAAAAATACTATTTTTTTGATGAATTTATTTTATTTTGGTTTAAACAAAAGTTTACAGAAAACTTTTCTTTCCATTCATTCATTGTTGCACATTTTCCTCCCTTCCCCCCTACCCCAGTCCACTTGGCTATGAACCTCTTATTCTGGACTGTTGTCATGCAAATAATGCCTAATCATATATTACTTTTAAACAGTTTTTTCCCTCATCTGTTCCAATGCAGAGTTCATTATTTACTCCCCTCTTTTCTTAGTTTTCCCCCAAACCCCAATGTCAGTTCTGTTTTATAACAGTGACATTATACAGTATTTGTCCTTTTGTGACTGAGATATTTCACTCAGCATAATGTACTTAGGGGTTACCATTTTGTATAATATTTTATGAGTTCCTTGTTTTCTGGTACTGCATAGTATTCTGTTGTACCACAACTTCTCTGTCCATTCATTTGTTGATGGGCACTTGGGTTACTTCCATTTCTTTGCTATTGTGAGCAACGCAGCAGTAAACATGGGTGTGCATTTGAAGTTCCTTCTAGTGATGAAAAATATTTGACAGCCTGGCAGCCTGTCCACTGATGGTCATCCAGGTGGAAAGGGCCTGAGCCCTCTCAAAGGTCCCACGGTTGCCTCTAAATGAAAACTAGCATTTAAATGACAAATGGAGAAGCATTGTTGCTGGTGAGTTAGTGCACCACAGATGCACACCACAGCTTTCCCAGGCATGCTTCAGTGACGTTGCTTCCGATCCTCAAGTTGTGAGGTGTTCCTTTACTGCGCTATTGCCCCATCAGTGCCACTCATTGCTTCCTGGAGTTCTGATCTAAATTCTTGAGTGACAGCTTTATACCATACAAAGAGTTCACCAGAGAACATAAATTCTGTACTACATATATACCTTCTCACCACTTCTAGTGAGTGGGTTCTGACTCATGGTCCACTATAAGACAAAGTAGAACTGCCCTGTGTAGCTTCCAAGCCTATAATCCTATAGAATAGAGTAAGACCGCCTTGTCATTCTCCCTCATAGTGGTTGATGGGTTTGAATCACTGACATTTGGGTAAGCAGCCAAGAGCAGACTGCCTCATCTTTCTACTGTGGAACCACTGATGGCCTCAAACTTCTGGCCTTTAGGTTAGCAGCCCATGGCTTTAACCAGGGCCACAAGTGTTCCTTCTCCAAGTCCCTTGTCAACCATTCATCCATTTTCTATCTTGGATTTGCCTTCTCGACACCTTGTGAATGGACTCATATCACATGTGGTCCTTTGGGATGTGACTTCATGGACATTTGTGTCATCACATTAAAGACATGTTAGAGGTCATCCGTGATGCAGAGCAGAAAACTTCATAGGATTTCCAGGGATGTGAATCTTTGAGAGAGTCACATATCCCTCTCCCATGAAGCAGCTGGTGGGTTTATATTTAGCAACCAAATACTTTACCATGGCACTACCAGACCTGTTCACTGACATTCCTTACTTGTTAAGCTAAACTACTATTTGGTTTTAAGATTTCTTACAGGTATTCTTTGAGGAGTGGTTTTAGGGGTTCATCCAGCCTGTGGAACTCCAGAAAGTCTGGACTCCAAGGAGGACATCTTTTTGTGGCACTAAGATTGCATTCCCAAAGGGCTTTCTTCTGTGGAGTCCTGTGTGTGCATTGGTGCTGACTCCTTTCCTCTTTCCTAGGTTTGAGGAACCCCCCAAGACCACTCCTGGTGGCTGGCCCCGCTAACACAGGCAGCAGCGACTCCGATGGCGGCCTTTTTGCCATCCCCACGACTCTGCCACCCAACAGCCGTCATGGGAAGCTCTTCTCCCCCAGCAAAGATGCTGAGCTTTCATTCCGCCAACACCTGAGCTCGGTCAGCATGAGTGCCAGCCCCTGTGCCCTGCACGCTGAGCGGTGCCAACAGGGGCCCTCAGGAGTGGTGCCATTGCCTTTGCAGATACAGTCGGATTTTTTCCTGCCAAAGCCCCAGAAGCTGCGAAACCGGCACCTGCGGAAGCCACTGGTGGTCCAGGTGAGAACCTGTACAGAACACGGGTAGTTGTGGAGGCAGGATGGCAAGGCCATATTCCTTTCTCTGAACACAGACCAGACCAAGCTCAGTCCGATGCCACCCAGTCAGTTCCAACTCAGTGACTCTTAGGACAGAGAACTACCCTATGGGGCCTCAAGCACTGTAATTCTTATAGAACAATAGTGCCTCATCTTCCTTCCTCCTTCAAACCTGTTAGTGGGTTTGAACCACTGACCTTTTAGTTAAGTACCTGAGGGCTTAGCCTCTGAGCCATCAGGACTCCTTGAATATGCCGTTGTTGTTATTAGGTGCCACTGAGTCAGCTATAACTCATAGCAACCCTTTCAACAACAGATGGGAACCATTCCCTATCCTACACCATCCTCACATTGACCGACCTATTCCAGTCAATTGTTACAGTTACTGTGTCAGTCTTGAAGGTCTTCCTCTCTTTCTCACTCTATCTTTCAGCAACTATCTTTTTCTAGTAACTAGCCCCTCTTGACAACCTGCCAAAATATTGTAGACAAAGTTTAATCATCCTTATCTCTAAGGAACACCTTCTTTCACTTCTTCCGAGACAGATCTATTTGTTCTTTTGGCAGGCCATGGTATATTTACTAATACCCTTCACTAATATCATAATTCAGAAGCATCAGTTCTTCAGTCTTCTGAAGGAACAGTCTTCAGATGCACAGGAAGCTGTTTTAAAGACCATGGCTTAGATAAGATACATCTTAGTCTTTAAGGTGATATCGTTACTCTTTTGCACTTTAAAATTTTTTTTTCCCTTCTAAAAGCCAAAGTTCATTTTCATTAAAAATGCTCAAGAGAGTTTCAGACATCTAAAGGATCAAAGATACCCAGGTTTAATAAAGCTTTTAGTGAGGTGGTACCTGTGTGTGTCTCTGTTGCTTCCGCTGCATATTGGTTGACACTTTAGAGTCTCAGAATGTGTGAGTAAACATTTCATAATATGTGTTTCTGTGTCATTAAAGCCTGTCAGGGTAGTAGTGATCCAAACAGTACTTCCCACGGCAGTCAGTGCTACTGCAATCCAGAAAGCTGTATAATTAATAAAGATGTTCCAGATGTGCAGATTACAAATTCAGCTATTAAAAAAACAAAACTTCTGCAGATTCTGTGTGAAAATCCATCTACCACTCATAACTGCCACCTGGTCGAACAGTTAATATCCTGAGCCAGAATCATGAAGATATTTTTTCTGGTAGTTTATACAACTCTTTAACAAACAACTGGAACAGCCATTCACCCATCTAGATGAAAATAGAGTGATTCTTGAAAGCAGATTTTCTCAGTGCAACACATTTTTTAATTTCTTGACTGCTGCTCAAAGACCATTGCTGTTGACTTGGTTTGTAGCAGTCCTGTCTATAAGACCGAGCAGAATTGCCCCATAGGATTTTCAAGGCTGTAAACCTCTGTAGAAGCAACTGTTTCATTTTTCTCTTTCAGACCAGCTGATGGGTTCACTTCTCTAGCTTTTTAGTGAGAAGCTGAGCACTTCACCCGTGTACCATGAAGGCTTCCTGAATCTAATTTAGGAAGGTGAAAAAAAGGCAAAAAATGAAAGCTACTTTCATTCTATTTTGGTACTGACTCTTTAATAGTCCTACAAAGCTGAATAAAACTTCTGGTAGCATCTCCAGGACTTTTACCTTTCTTGACAGGAGCAAACTCCTGCTTCTGTCCCTGCAGGAATAGCTGGTGGGTTTGAACTGCTAACCTTCAGGTTATAGGCAAATATGCCACTGGGGGTCTTGGATACAGAGTAATAGCTTTGAATATGTCTCTGGATATGGAGGGAGTCAAGGTACCAAAGAAAGACACAGACACAGGCAGCTCCAGGATAGTGATTGAGGAATTCATTGCCTCCTTAGAAGGTGATGGTGTCAGTCACTGCAGGGCAGATTTTAATCTCCTCAAGAGGCAGAGGTTTTGATGACTATAGTGCACAAAGATGGCTCAGTGCCAGGGACCTAGACCTCTAAGGCCACTCCATCAGGTGTTGCATAAGAGTACTTTTGTAATAGGAGTGAGCAAACAAGAGTGTAGCCATAGCCACCCTTGTCAAAGCCTTTTTACTATTCCCCAGGTATGCTAGTTTTCTTCTGACTATAAAGGATTTCATGGTAGAAAACAAGCCAAATTCTGGCCCCTTCCTTCCTGTTTAAGAGCAGGGTAAATTAAGTCATAGCATGCCTCAGAATGAAGATAATGTTTACCCAGCATTGAAAATTCCTGGCAACATAAATTCAGAGGATTTAAGTCTCAAGAACACTCTAGGTTTGGATATACTTTCAGACGCTCAAGACTCCCAACTGTATATATTTAGTCACTTGGCAAGGCACTAGAGGTCACACCTATCAGGAGCTCATTATAGTGACTGCACGGGGCCTGTAGATGCCATTTGTAAGCCAGAGAGGACATCTGGAAATGGCACAAGAAACAAGACGTGTCCAGTTAGAGGTGGAAAGGTGGAGGAAGTGAAGCTGGAGGTCAGAAAGAATGGCTGAGACATGTGCAGGTGCGTTTGAGTTTGGATAGATGCTCCAGCCACCTTTAGTTGGACTCTGAGATACCATTTCCTTGCCTGATAGCGGTTTATGTAGATGTGAGTTTGCTTGAAGGATTTGAGGAAGGAAGATGCTGTTGAAAGACCAGGCAGATTTTTTTTAAGGAGATCTCAAATTTTTGCATGCTCCTTACTCAGGGTGGGCACTGTCACCACTTGCTGTGGTCTCAGACTGCAGCAACCCTCAGGCCAAATCTAGGCCCATTGAGTTTTGTTTTGCTTTTAAGTTATTATGCTGGCACCACAGCTCTGCAATCACATGCCCTACATCCTTTCCCATCTAGAAGTTTTATAAAGAAAGTCTTAAGCATTAGATAGAGTTATATTCTCTATTGAATTGTTTATACTGCATGAAGATACACTGACCAAGCAGAATTCACTGTGACGTTCCCCTTTGCCTTCCAAAAACTTCCTCTTCTGATGCTTCCCTCCAGTTTTGACAACTGGAACACCAAGAGAAACACAATATATATTATTGCGATATTTAGCAGTTTTATGAAGAATTCTAAGGAAAGAAAACATTTATATTGTGTGCTAACAAAAGTTCTAATATATTGTTGTTGTTCTTATGTGCTGTTGAATTGCTGCGGTTTGTAGTGACTCTTTGTATAGCCACTCTGAACCCTGCCCTGTCCTGAGCCAGTCTCGCAAATTCTGATACACCAACCCCTGTTGCCCCAGTTTACTGTATGAATCCAACTCAGCCGGGGTCTTCCTCTCCTGCACTGTCCCTCCACCCTTCCCCAAGTATGATGTCCGTCTCCAAGGATCGGTCTTTCCTGGCCATGTACCCAAAGTATGTGAGATAGAGCTTCAAAATCCTAGCCTTCAAAGAGAAACTTGGTTTCACCCTCTTCAAGACAGAGTATATACACTTTGCTCTTAAGTGGGAAATCTGATTTAATATGCTTACAACTTGTTGCCACACAAGACATTCTAAAACCTTGGGCACCATTTCTGAGGGACATGGTTTGGCCCATGCCAGAGCATTCCACTCCATGACTGCTACTTCATTTGCTTCATAGAGAACACTGCTGCCACGACCGTCAGACAGCCAGGCCCACAACGTGTGCTCATTCTCCATCCTGTCCAACTCTTCCATCACCGGTAAGGCCTAGGGCAAACCCTTGCTGCTGGTTGCCCGTCTCAACAGCCATTCAGGGAGCCTTTCAACAGCTCTGGTATGTAGGGTGGGTTAGTTGACTGACTGTGACCTCTGGCCTACCGTGTTTACAGTGTTTGCAATGTCAGGAGCCCCACTGGCTTGGCTCCATAGCACACCCTGTCTGTGGATAAAGGTGGTGGTGCTGCGAGGTCCTAGCTGAGCAAGCATGTGGTTGTGGTGGGTGGGCAGGTAGATAGCTGACCTTGCTCTTGTTCTCATCTTCACAGGGAGAGGTTCATTCCGGCCCATCCAGTCCTCTATGACCAAAGCTGCCCTGTCACGGCCCATTGTGCCCAAGGTCCCTCCACCCCAGGCCACCAACCACCTAGCCAGTAAGTTACAGTGGCCATCATCACACCAGGTTTCTTAGTGACCGTCTATTTACAAGGTTTTTCCACTTGTTCCTCACACCCTGATGTCTCATATATTTTCTGTGATACCACGTTTGTTTGCCCTGGCTTGAAGGAGGTGTGCATGAAGCAGGAGGCCATCCCTTGGCTTCCAGGATGCTGGAGAGCAGAGATGTAATATGTTCTTTCTGTTGTCAGGTGCCATTGACCTGGCTGCCAAGAGTGCCGGCATCATCCCTGGGAGTCCCCTCCCTGTCTTAGACCCCAAAGGCCTATCAGGCATCTCTCCGCTGCCTTCAGATGATGTGACTGCAGCTGTTGCCAGCCAGGACTCTGCTGGATCCCACCAGAATGGACACCCCATCTCCACTGTAGGGGTATTTATCAGTTACCACTAGTTATTCTCCAGGGGTGGGAAGTCCAGGCCCTGGGCTGAGGTTTCAAAAGGCCTGGACTCCTCTGCCTATCTTGGGTGACTGATGAACTGGAGTGCCACAGAGGGGAGTTGGTGGGGTAGGAAGAGCCAGACTCAGTGGCCCTGAAGGACCACAGGGACATGGGTAGCCTGACCTGCACTTAAGGAACATCTAAAACTCAGCAAACTTCAAGGTCTGCTCACCAGCCAACTTAGCTAGACCAAGGGTAACGGAGAACATCAGCCAGCAGTAGTCTTTGCTTGTGTGGACTCCCTGCAGCCTGCTGTCCATCTGGGGAAGAACAGATGGCCCTTCTCAGCACTCCAGGCCCATGTATATTTGCCCCAATGGTCAACATCTGTTCAAAACTGGAGTTGACTCTTGGGGAGGATAGATTGTTTAGCACAGGAATTTTACTGCATCCCTTGGGGAGCACACTGGCATGTGCTGCCCCAGCCATGACTGTTAATGGTGTCTGCCCTGTCTGGGGCCTGGGTGGTGTTGGTGCATCTTCCTGCACTCACAGTGGTTGGTGTTCTTGTAGACCGCAAGCAGTCCCTTCATCAGTGTCCCCACGAGGCTTGAGCCAGAGCCAGAACCTGCAGCAGACAGCTTCCAGGTAGTGTGGGCGTGGGCACAACATGGTTGCACTGGCCAGTACATCCAGCCCCTCTGTTTCCATCCTTGGATTACTGGACACGACACTGTGAACAGGGTTGATGCTTCCTTCTTTGCACTGTTCTTTTATCTACCATCTCTGCACACCTGCATGTGGACAAGGGGATTTAGCAGGCCATATGGGGAGGGAGGGATTATTAGCTTTCCTCTTTTCCCAATGTTCTCTGACTGACCACTGCAGGTGAGGAGGCAGGGCCCTGGCAGCTTCACATTGTCCCTTTGAGAATGAGCTTCCTGTGTTGAATTAGTGTCACTGGTCACTCCCTCTGGTGTCCTCACTCACATCTTGGGTGTGACAGGCTCTGTCCCCACAGGGCTCCTCTGTCCTCTCCTTGTCTGAACTCCCCAAGACTCCACTCCAAAACGGCCTCTCGACACCGCTCCCCTCGTCAGAAGGTTCCAGCACTCGGCTCTCTCCGCCCAATGTATCTGCCTTACTGGACCTCTCCCTCCCTGGGCCACCCGAGGATGTGCTCTCACAGGGCGAGCCTGCCACCCACATCAGTGACTCCATTATTGAGATCGCCATCAGCTCTGGACAGTATGGTAAGGACACTCTCCCATGCTGCCCAGATCAGGAGCTCTCTGTATATAGGCTGCTTGTTCTGTGCAGATACAGCAGTGGGGCACAGTTCTGCTGCTCTGCTGCCTACCTGGTGAAGGGCTGGGGAAGCAGGGCACTGTGCATATCTATGTGGACTATGAGCATGATGTGGATTGCAGGTGAAGGCGTCTCACTTTCTCCAGCTAAACTGAATGGCAGCGACAGTTCCAAGAGTCTTCCCTCCCCATCCAGCAGTCCCCAGCCCAACTGGATCGCCTCCCCTACCCATGACCCCCAGTGGTACCCCAGTGATTCCACTGACTCTTCACTCAGCAGCCTCTTTGGTGAGTGGCTAGGGGGCTTAGGCCTCCTCCTCTGAGCATGGTCCACACTGGGCATCAGTATGGAGGGTCAGTGTCCAAATGGCTCAGGACTCCTCCAGTGTGGATGGTCAGCATCCAGGTCTTATTCCTGTCATCACTGAACCTGTCTAAGGGGATGCTCTAGCTGTCCCAGGCGCATTCTTTGCTCCAGTTTGAAGAGTGTCAGGTTCATGGGCCCCTTTTCTACCCTGTGCCTCACTGACACTAGTGTTTACGGTCTATTAGGTGAAGGCCTGTCAGCTTGTTCCCACACATTCCATTGTGTGCCTGGACTTTTAAAGATTCCACATACAGTGTGTATGGTGCTTTTTTCTTGTTGGGCTTAGAGAAGAGTGCTGTACATGGTGCAGTCTTGGCACCCTCTGTGAGCTCCTTCCATGTCCAACAATCTAGAATGATCCAAGAGTCTGGGTGTGTGGAGAACACCAGCCGCTGACAACTGCTTAATGTGATAAAGGTCGGGTGACACAGTGCAAACCCAGGACAGAGTGGAACTGCTGCCCCATAAGGTCTCCAGGAATGTAATCTTTACCGAAGCAGACAGCATTTTTGCCCTCAGTAGCTGGGGGTTCAAACCTCCAACCTTTCAGTTAGCACCCAGGATTTTAAGTATTGCATCCAAGGTCTTCTCTTTTACAGTGCAGAAAGGAGAAAAGTCAGAGACCACCAAAAACCAGAAACAGTGCTGTGTCTGCCCCTCATTTAAGAGACTGGTTATGTAGAATAAGGTCCAGGAGGTGTAAGGTTCTTAGGAAAGTGAGACAGAGGCGGTGTGCTGCACAGACCACTGTGAAGCTGCCGTGCAAGCATGTGGGCAGACATGCCAGTGCTAGACCAAGCTGGGCCTTAGGGTGCTGTTCTCTGGCCTCTCTGCAGCAAGCTTCATCTCCCCAGAGAAGAGCCGGAAGATGCTGCCCACGTCTTCTGGGACAAATAGTGGCACTTCCTTATTGGGCCCTAGCTTGCTGGATGGAAACTCAAGGGACTCCTTTGTGTCCAGGTCACTGGCTGATGTCGCTGAGGTAAGTGCTGTCTTATGTGAAGAGTGGGCCCTAGTCATGGCCTCAGGCTGCAAACCCCTCCAGTAGACAGTTAGGTCAGGCCTTCACAGTGGGCTCTGAGAACCATTTAACTAACAGCTCAGCATCAGCGCTGGCACCTGGAACTTTGTGTTCCTGCACTTTATTTTTTTACAGCTGTTTTAAAATTTCTTTTATATTGATTTGCATATAAAATTCATAACTATTTTCTTGAAATTGGGGAGATCTGTCTACACTAGGCCGGTATTTATTCCCAGGTAACATCAAATGACTGGCCTGACAGCAGGCCACTGAGGGCATCCAAGCTTGGGAGCTGTGGAGGCATTATTTCCTTTCACTGCACCTACTGTGGACAGTAATGCTGCTGCTTTCAGACTCCTCGTCCTATGGGTAGTGGAGACCTGGCTGAGGCTGGGGAGCAAATGTGCTAAAGGCTCAACCATACCGTCACACTTCCTTCTCCATAGGCTGTTTATCCAGAGCCCCCTCTGTGCCTACCAGGCCCTGATACTTCCTCTAGTAGAGGCATGTGTGAACACTGCTGGGGTCTTGTACACAGTTACCTTCAGGAAGAAATCCTCATCCCTAGCCTGCTAATATACATGCTCTGGTCCGCTTGTCGTGTCTCTGGAGCACCTGACTCAAACCCTCTTCACACCATGTCTATCCCTGTCTTTTCATGTCCTTAGAGCACCTGGCTGAGCTTGATCCATGTCTGTCCTGACTGACTGGGTCTCTTCTTGCCTCACTCTGTGTTCACCCTGGTCTCTGTCCACCTGACTGTGCCCTTCCCCCACGGGCCCTCTACCACTTATATTGGAACATGTTTCTCTTGTTCTTTAACACTTAGTCTCCGGGTCTGACCCCCAGCCAGTCTTCCTTTAACATCTCCACAGCACACACTGACTCAAGCCCTGCTGTCCTGTCTTTTGGCCACGCATTGCCCATTTCATCTCCCTTTAGTATTGGCTGTCCCCACATTTCTCAGAAATGTCAGGAGGGAAGGAACCCCATCCAGCAGCGCATTGCATAGTAGTCTGTATGGGGACACGGGCTGAAAGAAATGAGTGTTCAAAGCTGCTTACGATCCCCACAGAGTGGCAGGCCGTATTCTAAGCCAAGAGCCCAGAAGAGTAACAAGAGAGACCTTTAGAGGCCTTACAATGGTGGCCACTTGCTGGCTAACTTTGCTTTCTTCCATCCTATCCCACCAGTGGCCAGCTAACATGGCTTTCCCTTGCTTTCTAACCTGCAGGTTGTGGACTCCCAGCTGGTATGCATGATGAATGAAAATAGCATCGATTACATCTCCCGATTCAATGACCTGGCCCAAGAGCTGTCCATTGCTGATCCTAGCCGCCGGGAGGTCCTATTTGATGGTGGCGGGCCCCCCATCGGTGACCTGTCCCAATGACCACACCTTCAGCTGCAAAAGTGAGGGCTCAGCGGGGTTGGTGGCCCTCAGCTGTGGTGAGATGTCCCTCTGTCAGTGAGAGAGGCCACAAATCAGACTCATGACTTCCAAACAGAGATCTTCTTCACCAGGAATAGCTGTGTGCAGTAGCAGTACTCACTGGGACCCAGTTCTGACCAGAATGGATGGCCCTGGAGGACCAGTGTTCCAGAGACTGGAGTCAGACGTCACCGTGGTGTCAGGAGAAGGTTGCAGTCAGCTGAACAGTGTCATGTTTGTGATGCTTCCTCCTCAGGTTTCCTGGGCTGGGCGTTCCCATGAGAACAGGGAGCAGGCCAGCTTCTCTGTAGCTATCACTCTGGAGTGAGACCCTGCAGTCTGGCGGGACTCCACTACTGCTACTTTCTCCTCCAGAGGCTCTGCCTCTGGTCCCCACTATGTGACAGTAGGGCCCAGGCCTAGGCAGCCTGAGGCACAGTGGACAATTCCAAGGAACAGTTCCAGAACAGTGTGACTGATGCCAGTCATCCAAATGTCCTGGCCCTTGCCTTGTGTTTCCTGACGTTTAATGGCAGGGGGAAAACAATCATGTCTTTGGCGGGTCAAGTTTAAAAAGCCTGTCGAGCTGGTTGAAACATGCTTCTCTCGGGTTTAAAAAAATTAGGAGATGTTTTTGTTGTTTGCCTTCCTGAGTCCATCCGCAACTTCTCCTAGGTGCTCTGAGATGCTCTTTCCTGTGGTAGGGATGACTCTGAGTGTGAATCTGATTGGTAGGTATCAAGGCTTTCCAGACAGGGCTGTCCCTGTCTCTCGCTGAATTCATTGTTGGTGCCAGCTGTGCCCTCTGCCCTACGGCATCCTACACTTGATCCCACTCAGAGAATCCAGGCAAGGGCTTCAGTTTCTAGTGGCATTCAGAGCATGCTGCATCCATTGGTGCCCTTCTCCAGCCCTTCGATGGGTGGCCAGGTGTCATTCCTGCACATGACCCAATAGCCAGTCTCTCCCCAGATGGAGCCAGCAAGGCCCCAGGCACATGAGCTACTATTGCTGTGACGTTGAACAAGTAATATTTGCGTCACTATCTTACCTATTGCTGCTTTGTGCAGCCACAATTCATTTGGCTTTTTAATCCTATCTGTACTTGCCATAATCTTTTTGCCCTTTTGCTCCTCACCTCTTGCCCATAGAACAGCCTGCCTCTTTCTCTCACTGGGCATCCCTGTCTCCCTATGGTGAAATTGTGACTTGGTGGTAATTAGTCTTGGACAGGTCTTCCACATAGCCAGGCAGGGACAACTCATCAGCTGGCCATAGCAGATAGGGCCACTTCATGGTAAGGGTTAACATTAGGAAATGGAAATAATGGTTGTGCTCCTGGCAACTGCTTCCTTCCTCTGTCTCACTTTTCTCCCAGAATTCTTACGCAGAAGAAGCACCTTCCTTCCTTCCTTCCTTCTAGGTACACTTAGTACCAACAGATTCATGCCAGCCACCTCTTGTATGGGCTCTGGGTCCCATGGCTCTGGGACTATGCAAAGAAGAATATTGAGAAAGACAAATGTTTGAACCTGAGTATTTGAACTATCTTGTGCTCAGTACTTGTTACCTCAGTTTCCAGAAACTAACACCTGATTAAGCTGAGCAGGAAGAATTGATCTCTCGGGATCAGATTTTACTGGGTTCCCAGTAGAGAGGACACCAGTCCAAGCTTGGGCCATTCATTAGGTTCTCAAACTCCCAATCTTGGGTTGGAGATGCCACAGCATTGAAGCACTGAAAACTGGAGCAGTGGCCACTGAGAGCGGCCCCGGGCCAGAGACATTTGGAATCCTGAGCTGTGGATTAGGGGAGACCTTGAGGCAGGCTAGGGGGTAAGTTGACATTGGTTGCCCTGTTACATCTAAATAGAGGAAAATTTTGACATTTGCAATTGATTTGCAGTTAAGTCTTCTAATTTAGCAGCACTTCTGTGGTAACAGTTGGCTGCAGCCAGCCATCATCCAGTAGGCAGGTGGGCTGGGGAGCAGGCTGGACTAAGTCTTCTCAGCAGTAGTAAAGCTGACTAGGTTCCAGATGATTTGGCTAGGTCTCTAGCAAAAGGGCACAGTAAGGGAAAATGGAATTTGTAATGAGAAATCGATGATTGCCTTTTCTCCCAGTTTAGAGCAGTATGTACGGGGAAAAAAATTCACCTGTTAAAGGTGGCATTTTCTAAAGATAAAAGAGGTTTATCATTTCCTGTATCTTCCTGCTGCCTTTCCAGTGGATTCTGACACCAACCTTATATGAACTGTAGCTTCCTTTGTGCATTTGAGCTTGTGATTCCGACAAGGTCAGTAACTGAGAAAAATCTCTCCCTGATCACACTGTGCTCTGGGAGATATTCAAAAGAGTGAGGCGATATCTGGGGTCTCTATCCTTGACTCTTCATTGTACATGTCTAGTGATGAGTATTCTGCTGTTTAGAAGATACTGAAGCAGGTGGGTTCATTATATCCTGCAAGGATTGTGAAGACATTCTCCTCTTTCTGTATCTTCTAGGCATAGAGATTTTGCTCAGGGAATGGGGATATTTAGGAACATTCCTCAGTATTTCTGCTTGCTTTCTCCTATCTCCAGGTCATTAACATCAGAATCTTGCCCTTTATATATTTCTGTACCTCATTGTGTTTCAGTTCAATAACATCTCTACCTAGATGACACCATTGAATTTATACTTATTCTGCTGAGAAGTCATAGGATAAAATACATGGGAGACAAGTGAGGAGAAACATTTTGTAGACACTCAGATCTAGCCAAAGCATTTATGGGGAAACATGGCACTTAATTTCTAAGAACAACAAAAGAGGAGACCTACAACAAACCTTTCAATCCTGTTCAAGCTCTCCTAATCTCACAGCAATTTGTAAAGCATGTTAAGTAAGTTAAGATTTGGTAGTTCTACCAAGTCTCTCCTCCCTTCTATAGGAGGATAACTGACTCTGAAACTCTTGGTTGGGGCAGCAGAATCTATTGCTGTTCCTTTTATAATAGTTAAGCCATATCATCTAAGGTTTTCGGCTTGTTTGAGATGTGAATTTGTTTTATAGATTATAAATATACAGTGAATGTATAAAGCAGAATGCCTGTCCTTCCTGATTATTTTTTGTACCATATTGTAAATTATATTATTTATTCTTTACCAATTTTGGGAATAAAAGGTGTTTTGGTTATTTAATATAATAAACAAAAGCTGTTAAACTTCTTACGTTTAAATTTCCAGTTCAACTTGTAAAATCGGTTTTTATTGTGCATAAATACATACTAATACTTGATCTAATAATTGTTGTTTCTGGTTTTTGGGGTTTTTTTTAAAAAAATAACACCTAAAATTAGACCTATTGCCAGGTTCTCTTCTCATCAAAAACATGCTGATTATTTTGTTAGTTGGGCTTTGATTATTGTTATATACCAGCAAGTCACCTGCAACTCATAGTAACCCTGTGTACAATAGCTCTGAATCTGCTGTATCCTGAGCCAGTCTGTCTCCAGCACACCTACCCCCGTTACCATGTCAATCCATCTCATCCAGCATCTTCATTTCTTGGACTGTCGCTCCACCCTTTCAAGCATGATGTCTTTCTCCAGAGACTGGAGAAGGGACTTTAAGGAAATCTTTGCCTCCAAGGAGCAGCCTGGTTTCACTCTATCCAGAATAAACCTGTTTGTTCTCTTTGCAGTCCATGGTATGTTTAATATAACAACTAAAAGGCATCATTCTTCTGTCATCTTTGGCCATTACCCAGCTCTGTGATATATAGCAAATAATTGCAAAGGCCATGGCCTGAATCAGGTGTACATCGTTGCTTCTCAGCACTTTTGAGAGGTCACCGACAGCAGCTTTCCTCAGAACAATTTTTCTTCTGATTTCTTGACTGCTGGTGCCAAGAGTATTGATTGTGGAGCTGAGCAAGCTGAAGCTGTTAACCTCAGTCTCTTCTCCATCCTTCATCTTGTCTTCTTGATTCTGAGCTTCAATCCCTACTGAAGATTGCAGTCTTTGACCTTCTGCAGCAAACGCTTCCAGTCTTCCTCAGTTTCTACAAGCAAGGTTGTGTCATCTGCATAATGTATATTGTTGATGAATCTTCCTCCAATCCTGATGCCACATTCCTCATGAAGTCTAACTTCCCTAATCTGTTCTGCATATAGATTGAAAAGGTTTGGGGACCAGATGCACCCCTGACAACACTCCTTTCCTGATTTTGAACCATGTACTGTTTCCCTGCTCTGTTCTGAGGAATGCTTCCTGGTCCAAGTAGAGGTTTTTGCATGAGCACAATCAAGTGTTCTGGGATTCCCATTCTCAAGGTTAGCCACAATTTGTTGTTACCCACAGTCAGATGCCTTGCACAATCAATGAAACAGACATTCTTCTATACTCTTTGCTTTCAGCCAACATTCATTTGATGTTGGCAATAACAACATCATCAATTCGACTATAATTCACAGTGACCCTGTGAACAACAGATCTGTCCTGCATGATCCTGCCAATCTGTCATGCTCATTGTGGTCACCAGATCAGTCCCATCTTGAGGGTTTTCCTCTTTTGTCAACCTTCTCTCTTTCCCAGCATGATGTCTCTAAGGGCTGACTGTTCATGAAAATATGCCCAAAATAAATGAAACAAGTTTTACATCTCTGTTTTTAAGGGGCACTCTGATTGAACTTCAAGACAGATTTATTCTTTTGTAAGTCCATGCATGGTATATACAGACTCTGCAAATAAATTTCAAAGTCATTAGCTCTTTGGTCTTCCTTATTCCTTGTCCAACTTTCAGAGGCATATGAAGCAACTGAAAATACCATGGCTTGGATTATACACACCCTAATCTTTAAACTGACTTCCTTGTTTAAAACTTTGGAGAGGTCCTTGACAACAGATTTTCCCAAAGTGACACAGGGAGAAAAAGCAAGTAAGGCTGAAAGGGACAGAACAAAAAGAATGAAAACTAGAT